AATATTTTTTTTCTTATTAAGAATAAATCTGATATCGATAGGAATATATAATTCTTTATAAAATAAAAATTAAAATTAATGAAGAAAATAGAATATTGAATATTATGAAATATCAATATAATATCAAATCGATATATAAAAATAATAAATATTACGACCATAAATAATATAATATCAATAATAAGATAACAAAACTTAGATATTATAACGACCGATATAATATATGCGAGACCCCACGACAAAAAATATTATAGATATCAGTCGGATATATTATTAATTTCTAAAATTTTTGAATCGATCAAAAATATATATTTCTTCGAAATTCTATTAATATAATTCGATATCATCGAACTAAGAATCGAAAAGACGATAACATCATATTAGTGCTCCATTATAAGATCTTATGCCCTAAAATTTTCGTGAAATTTTCTAAGTTAGAAAATAATCATCTAACCTCTCTTTATTTATTGAATAAAAAAAATATAAATTATATATTTATTCATTAAATAAATTCGAATAGCTTATTATTCTTATTTATCATTTAATATAATATAATCGATTCCTTACAATTATAACACAAATAATAAATTACCATTTCTAGTTAATTCTAATATTCGTCCAGAAAATATGAAATTTCAATCTCCTAATATGTTTAATATCTTCAAAGGATTAAGAAATTTCGCATCGTATATTTATGGTATAAACGAAATTATTCTTCTTCAATTCTTATATATGATTTATTTTATTTTAGGAAATCGGATTATCGAAAATTTAAAAAATATTAGAGTTGACCCGTTGTTCCAGTAGTAGTGTATAAGTAAATCATGTAGGTCGGAAGTATTCTAGCAATAGCATCCCAAATCTAAAAATTAGTAGAAAATTTCGTGCGCCAAGTCTCAACGCGAAGGCGCAAATTTCGCGTAGTGGTGCAGCTACGGACAAGCTGACATCGAATTCTTGCACGTAGTTTTCCGGCGCCAAAGTCAGCCACGCCGAGGATGAGGCCATTGCACCGTGCCACCGCAAAGCTGGAGCGCGATGCCCGCATTGTCACGAAGCTCTGCAATGCTCCCTGGGACGGTTGGGTCGGATTCTTGGAGGACGGTCAGGTAGTGTCCGAAATGGCGGATCATCTGTATGGATACGGTGGGCTTGCCATCATGCTGCAGCTGGATCTGCCAAAAGGGGTCGTCCCGGAAGGACTCGCCAGCCTTGCGCGCAACCCTTGTCCACTGGATAATAGCCAACTGAACCGGCGCTTCTCGCGGTTCCGAAGAGCCCGCGGGAGCTGCTTCGGGTTGCAGCGCGCCAGCTTTGGGAACGATGAGCGGCTTGGGCGCCGCCTTGGCGCTTGCGCGTCCGCGGCCGCGGCCGCGTCCTGTCTTGTTCATGGTGAAGGCGCAAAGCTTGCCCATGACGCTCCGAACCGTTGTGTAGTGTGTAGTCACCACCGTATTGCAACGAAGAGCAGCGAATGGATTTTGCGGCGCACTCGTAGAGCCAAACGGACGCATATTATAGCCGCGCGAATTCGCTGCAAAATTCTGAAGGCTGGCACGCTGCTATCACTGTATAACTTCGTTTCGCAAAATCGAACCTGTAGAATGCGAACCTCAGCGCAAATGACGTCGGCCCAATCGCGGACTTGGCATGGTTTTTTGCAGGACCCAAGCCTCTAAATTTTCCGAAAATTTAGAGGCCTGGGCTCCAAGGACCCAAGCCTTTAAATTTCCGAAAATTTAGGGACCTGGGCACTTCAAGATCTAGTTGCTCCCAGCAAGCACTCACAGGGCATGAGTGACAACGCATTGGTGGGCTCTGCACACTTTTTATTCGGCAGGGACTGTCGTGGTGTGCCAACCATGGTATCCTTAGATCTGCTCGAACAGCAAAGCACAATTGCTATCAAAGGCGGGATTTAAAATTAGACTCATCAGAGCTCTTCTGCGCCAGGGGGACGTGCGTACCGTCTCTGCTTTTTTTCTGCAAGCTCGCGGCCGGATCGTGTCAGCGGTAGCGACAATGATGGTGGGTCGACACATTTGCTGAAACGGCACAGCACATTCTCCGTGAGCGAGTGTGTAAAGTCGATTTCGGGCGATGGGACTCCCAGCTGCCGAGCCTCTCTACGCAGCTCACCATGTAATCGGCGGCTCCACTGTAGGAGGAGCTGCGGGGGATGAGTCACTGGGGAGTGCTCCGTACCCGAGAGCATGCTTCTCTGTTGCAACAGAGAAAGTGTCCGTGCACAGCCGCCCGAAGCGGGGACGATCGGAAGGCAAGCAAACCGTCGCCGAAAGGCCGCAACATTCCAGAAAGGGGCTACCATGTGCTACCATCTCCTCCACTCGGTCCCGCAGCACCTTTTCGACAAGTCCCTAGCGAGGCATCATGAAGGTGCTCTCGTGCAACGCGTTCCGCCTCCACGTTAGGGTCGCGTTGTCGATGTAGCTGTGCCAGATTGCAATCGCGCGCGGAAAGCCGGCCGCCCTCATGGGACGGAAGCCGCAATTGCAATGCGAAGCATTACTCCACGGCATGCACTCCTGAGTTTCTTGTAGGAGCCTCGCGCCAAGCTTGCGCAAGGCGTCGAGCTGGCCTGTGGTCATACTGCCGAACAGCATCGTAGGACTTGCCGCGCTGCTGTCCGCGATATCGCCAGGCTCAGGGTCTTCTGCCTCGTCAGCGCTGGCCAGCTGTAGTCGGCATCATGGTCTGCTTCACAACCGTAGGCTCGAGGCATCCCGTAATGAACCACAGCCGTGACTGCAGAATCAACACCAGATTGGCTGGAAACAAAGAATGCCTTCCGAAGGTCGATGCCGTCGCCGAGCTTCTGCACAATATCAACGCCTCGTAGCTTCCACGGTCCGCATCCACAAGTGGCCGACTGCTACGCAAGTCCAGCAACCTTTGAAACTCTATGTGGTAGGGACCTGCCCGCTCCAAACTCTCTAGCGGAACTGCTGCCGGCCTCTTTCGCGGCGGCATGGAGCGTGCTGTGCAATATTTTACGACTGCCCACAGGAAAGGACAGCGACGTAAGCCTAAGCCGACAGCCACAAACGGAGTGAACTCTGGTTTTCATTTAGTTTTTAAGTCTGGGCACTGTCGTGTTTAGCGCTTCGGGTTCATGCTTGAATTGGGATAGAGCACTTGTACAAAGGTCTGTAAGCCCGAAAGCGGTTGCAAAGCGACCATTGGGACGAACACGACAGTCAATCAGAGGTGCATATGCATATGCTTCTCGTATTTCTAGAATACGCAACCATGTTACACGCACACACATATATATACTATGTATAACAGAATCTATACAATGCACACGTACTCACATACACATGTACAGAGGTTCGATTCAGTTGGAAACAACGACAGTCCAGTAATCCTATCAAGACGTGCCATTTACACGCAGTTCACACATTATGGGAGTTTCCGAAAGTTCGCGTTCCTTATTTTGGGGCCCTTATCATGAGGATCCTACTGTTTAGGATACATTCGGACCCCCCTCCCCACCGAGGCATGTCTGCTGCGCGAAGAGTTGGACTCAGCGCTGGCAGTTGTGATTCAGCCGGCGACAGACAGGTCGATCAATCGACAAATAGACAGAAGCACATATAGAATATGCTTAATGCATATACAATATGCATGTATGTATATGTACAGGAAGAGACAAAGAAAGAGACAAAGGAGGAGAGAGAGAGAGAGAGAAAGACATAGAGAGAGAGAGAGATAGAGAGTGATCAAGAGGGAGGGATGTAATTGTTTTATCTGAACGCGCATGGTGCAGCCTTCCCAATTGGTGTCTGTGCGAAGCAGCTGGACTGGTTCTGCCCGAAGCTATCTGCTACACTGCTAGACCTTGCCTTGGAGAAGTTGCTAATGACCTCCGAGAAGTCGTCAGCCTGTTGAACTCGGTTGAAATTCGAGGAAGAAAATTCCTGTGATCGATAACCCACATGAATGGATGA